CATATACATTCCTCTATCGTGTATTTTGAGCATTATTGGGAGAGATCTGTATTTCAAATCTCCGCTAAACAGATTCGGTTCCAGGGTTTTGGACGCTGCCGTGGAAAAGAAATCGCAACATGAAGTTACATGGTGATTTTTAATTTTTACACGTCTCCGTCACACGTCTTAGGCCATACTCATGGATAGCAGTGGGATCTTTCGCAATATACCTATTTCTTTTGGGTTCCTCATGAGCCTGCAAAATACCCGCAAGCACATTAAATCGTAGTCGCCCTTACGGAGCAAAAGAACTTGGCACGTAACCTTGACTCACCCACAGTTTCAAACAGGAGCCCAGCATGGACAAAGCATGCAAACAAGAAAGAAATCTCTGTCTCAGGGAAGAACCCAGAAAGGGGATTCAGAAGGAATTAATCCATGTGGAAAGAAGCAAATGTAAAAGAGTTTTGTGGGTTCTGGTGAAATTCTTTCCTGGCCTTTGGCATTGCCCAGAAACTTACGGGAACCACAGGAATTAAATCTAAAATATTATAAAAGACTATGGTGTGTATCACACAAAACCGATCTGCAGATGATTTACAAGAATTTAACAGGAGAGAGAGACATGATTTCCGGGATTCAGGTAGCCTACCCTGTGGTTCCACGAAAATTTACCTTTTCAGAGGACTCAACCCTAAGACTTGACTCCACTGTCCATGTTAGGTAACAATTTTTGTTTCTCTCTGAGATTTCTAGATATTTCTTCTTGGACTCCAATTTAGGCTACTCTTCCTCCGCCCAGCTCTCAAAGTTCCCTGTTCTTCACAGATGCTAATACGTGTGTAGTCTTGTCCTATTCAAACCTAGAGTCACCAGGAAGTTAGGTTCAGGCTGTTCCAGAATCATCTAAACACTGGTGGCCGTGTTTGCTACAATCCCTGCAACCCACTCACCGCAAACTCCTTAAATCTGCGGCTTGAATACTTAGCAGATTTGTATCTTGCAGACAGCAAAACACTGGTCTGACAATTTCTCTCTTAAGTGTTTCTACCGCACTGATACTTATTTTTGTAAGTGATAAGTTCGACTGGTTTTGCCCCATTTTTGCTCCTTTAAAGGGTTTGCCTGTTTTATTTAAATATGTTTATCTTTTAGGGGCGCCTGGGTGGCTTAGTCGGTTGAGCGTCCGACTTTCGCTTAGGTCGTGATCTCGCGGTTCGTGGGTTCGAGCCCCGCGTCGGGCTCTGTGTTGACTGCCAGCTCAGAGCCTGGAGCCTGTTTCAGAGTCTGTGACTCCCTCTCTCTCTGACCCTCCCCTGCTCACGCTGTCTCTCTCTCCCTCCTATAAATAAATAAAACGTTAAAAAAAAAAATTAAATGTTTATCTTTTGACCTTTATCTCCTGTTTTTTCCTCTTCCGGCCCCTCCTCTAGACAACCTTTATGTGGATACTGCATGCTCCTTACCATCTTTACTTTTATCCATTTTTCTTCCTTTAATTCTGTTTAATTGCATTTGCTTTGCTAAAGCAACAGGTTGAGTCTCTTCTGACTCACTTAAGAGTTTTTAGGGGCACCTGAGTGACTCCGTTAAGGGTCTAACTTCGGCTCAGGTCATGATCTCGTGGTCTGTGGGTTCGAGCCCCATGTCGGGCTCTGTGCTGACAGCTCAGACCCTGGAGCTGCTTCGGATTCTGGGTCTCCCTCTCTCTCTGCCCCTCCTCTGCTCATGCTCTCTCTCTCAAAAACAGATAAACATTAAAACAAATTCTTTAAGTTATTTAGCTACAGACTCTAGGATTTCACTTTTGTATTTATTGAAATGAGAAATGAAATACCGTCTTACAAAGAGTGAAGAAATTAGCTTTTCATTATTTGAAAGTCCCATTTTAAATATTTCTCAAATGATTTTGCTTATGTTTTTACAGCGTGATATTTCTCTTTGGAGATATAAATAACGATTCCCTACAATATACATACGGCCTACCATAACTTTGCTTTTGTGAACTTTTATTATCTTGCAGTCTTCATGTTTACGGTTTTGTGAGCCGATCTTCAGAATAAAGCAACAGAGTGAGGTTAATGTTGGCTAACTATTAGGAGAGAATGGTAAATAACAGGGGGCAACCCAAATTCTTTAGCTTCTCAGGAAAAGAATTAAGTGATGACCTGCACAGACGAGACTGTTACAGTAATATTACTTGAGATAAACTTTTGAGTAATATTGTAATGACATAAAGATCAGGCCAGTAACAATTTATAAAACGGAATTATTAAATACGTCTAATTCTTACAAGGAGCATCTGGGCTAAAGATATGTACAATGCATTTTGTCTGTAATACATATCAAATATTTTAAATGTAAAAGGGCAAAATATGGATGTGAAAATTTTAACTGTTTGTTATAAATACCAACCAAGTATATTAAGTAAACTCGTAAAGTACTTTTCTTTGTAAGTTACAGAGTAACTCAAATAAACACACTATGTACACATTTATATATGTACTTTATATATTTAATATATATGTATACATTTAACGTGTGTTTATGTTATATATATTCAATGTATACCGATACGTTATATACATTTAGTGTATATTGATATGTGTTATGTATATTTAGCATACATTTACACATTATAGATATTTAATACATACTTATATATAACATATAAGAAGAAAACAAAGTATAAAAGGTCTTTTCTAGTAATCGGAATTTTTGTTGTTCAAATATATACACACTCCCTTGTGACTTAGAGGTGCACTCAAAAAAAACACACTATATACACTTATATATGTGTATTTAAAACATGCTTATATATAATTTATATGTTATATTTGTTTAAAATATATGTATTTAATGTTATATATTTATATACTACATATTTGAGTAATAAATATCTATGTATTACATATGTAATATGTATACACATACGTATCAACATACATTACATACTATGCGGATTCAGCACATACTGATATACATAATATATATAAAAGAGGGAAAACGTAGATAAAGTGTAGGAATAAAACATCTTTTCTAACCATCAGAATTTGTCTTGTTTAAATGTACAAACCCTCATTCATCTCTCAAAGCCAAAGCACCTGATTAAATTTTAAGAAAACGTACCTAAGTCACTATCTTCAGAACGATTCTAAACAGGGCATTTTACCCCACGCATTTCAGAGAAATAGACTGAACCCACATTCTGCCAAACCCGCCGGCAGCTGGGAAGACATGCGGGCGGACCGGACCCACAGGTCGGAACGACACGCCCTGGTGTGCAAGACGCACGCTCATCATGCTCATCGACTGAAGAAACTAACACACACCCCCCAGCGTCACTAAAAGTCCCTTAATGAGGACGTCCTGGGGCCACCAGGCTGTCTTCTGTCCCTGAGCATCATCACGATGACACTTGTTTCACTACGTTTTTTTTTTTAATTTTTTTTAATTTTTATTTATTTCTAGGAGAGAGAGAGACAGCGTGAGCAGGGGAGGGTCAGAGAGAGAGGGAGTCACAGACTGAAACAGGCTCCAGGCTCTGAGCTGGCAGTCAGCACAGAGCCCGACGCGGGGCCCGAACCCACGAACCGCGAGATCATGACCTGAGCGAAAGTCGGACGCTTAACCTACTAAGCCACCCAGGCGCCCCACACTACGTTTTTATAAAGGGCGTAACTGACTGGCATGTGGGGAGTTATGACACCCGGTTTACTTAGCTGTCAGAGCCCATATCCTCAGAATTACCTAACTACTAAGGACCCGGGTTTGTCATCTTTCACTTCTAGGGCCCGATACCCAGATCGGCGGCAGGAGCTCAGTTTCTAAGGGCTTAGTTGTTGGGGTGACTGGCTGCAGGGATCAGGGATCACCCAGTGAAGGGGAAGCCTCTGGATATCCTTGCGTGTAGGCTCCCGACAGGTGCGGTAGTTTATCAGAACGCAAAGCACCTTCAGGACTGACTGCATGTGGAGACCATCTTTGGGCGCCTGGGGGCTCATTCAGTTAAGCGTCCGACTTCGGCTCAGGTCATGATCTCACAGTTTGTGGGTTCGAGCCCCATGTCAGGCTCTGTGCTGACTGACGGCTCAGAGCCTGGAGCCTGCTCTGGATTCTGTGTCTCCCTCTCTCTCTGACCGTCTCCACCCCACCACCCGCCGGTCAATAATAAATGGACATTAAAAGAAAAATTTTACAGAATCCATCTTTGGTAAAGGAATTCCGTCTTACCCATGTTAATCGCGAAGACCAGAACGGGGACACAAGGAAAGGAAGACATAAGCAGGGAACACACTCTACAAATCTGCATTCTAGGAAGTCACGCCTGAGCCGCAGACACACACAGGGCTGTGTGGTCTCCAACACAAAGGAGTCACAACTTGGAGTCCCAAAGGCCGGGACACACCCAAAGCCTCAAGGCAAACAGAGGCAAACGCAGACAAACTCACCTGCATCTTATCTACAACCTTCAAGAGCCACTTAATCCTCAGGCGTTAATCCAACTCAGCAAACCAACTGAAGGCATTTGTCCCCACTCCTACCACCAAACGTCGAGGCCACTGGGGACCCCATCCAGGAATCCACGTACCCAACCGTCAGAGCCACCACCCGAGGCCAACACACTCACTCACTTGACGTGAAATTGAACGATGGGCCTTAACAAGGCTGCCAGACATTCAAGGGGTATGAATCTGAGTCAAGAAAGATTGGTACTTACGTAGGTCAGCGGGTAGCCTTCCACATACACACCCCTGTGCTCTCTCTCAGGGACCACCTCTTTTCCCCTGCATTTTCAACTTTTACCACTCCCCCCAAATCACAGTCATTAGCCTACAAACACACTCTGATGTTAAAAACCATTTGAAAAGCCGTGTTGGGCTCCAGAGCCCGCAAGCGAGCACGGACTCATTTCCCTGAGACCCTATGTGAGTCTCCGTGAAATGGTATGTAGGCGTCGTCTGCATACAGTGTGTCTCATGGTGGCCTCTGGTATACCTACCTCAGGTAGTCATGGCCGCAGGCATTCAGATGTCATAATTCTCTGTGACTCGCCCATTGATGACGTCAGCCTTGGCACAGGCAAGCTGCCCAACTCACCTCCTGGATGGGAAATGAAGAGACACGTGAATGAGGTACACGTACACACACACACACACACACACACACACACACACACACAAGTGTAAGTATAACTGGTAGATGGGACAGGTGAGGAATTGGGGGCTGAGTATAGGAAGAAGATGGAGATGTGATGGTGGGGAGGCCATCAGTGAGAATAATCAGGCTCCTCTGGAGTTGTTTTCTTTTCGTTTTGTTTTGTTTGAAGTTTCTTTCTTTATTTTGAGAAAGAGGGAGAAAGACAGAATCCCAAGAAGGGTGCATCAATGCAGAGCCTGACGCAAGAGTTGGACGCATGAACCATGAGATCATGACCCGAGCGAAAGCCAGACTCTTAACCGACTGAGCCACCCAGGCGCCCCTGCTTACACTCATTTTGAAAGAGGGACAGAATTCTGTACTGACAGAACGGAGCCCTACTTGGGGCTTGATGTCATGAATCACGAGGTCATGACCTGAGCGGAAATCAAGAATCAGACGCTTAACGGGCGCCTGGGGGGCTCAGTCGGTTAAACCTCCGACTTCAGCTCAGGTCAGGAGTTCACAGTCTGTGGGTTTGAGCCTCGGTGTCGGGCTCTGTGCCGACAGCTCAGAGCCTGAAGCTGCTCTGGATTCTGTGACTCCTCTCTCTCTCTGCCGCTCCCCTGCTTGCAGGCTCTTTCTCAAAAAAAATAAACTAATAAATCATTTTAAAAATAAAAGGTAATGGACGGAGGGTACAGTCATAAGGGAAAGACAGGAATGATTGCATAGCATCTTTTGTGGCTTTCCTTCTCTCCTATTCTGTTCCACGCACAAAACACAATGTTTGCTCTTCCAGGACATGTAACGTACGATCAGGATTTTCTTGTCATCCCTCCTTTGATAGTGGCCAAATCTTAATACTTCAGTGTGTTTTCACACTCAGGCGTCGGGACTTAAGGTCCCTGGGGATTCCATTAGAGGGAGCTTTCTTCTTTCCTGATTTTTATCCTTACAGGTTTCACAAATGGCTGTAAGTAAGGTGAATGTGCGTTTGCTCCCGCAGCCAACTCTCAAATCTTTTAAAGACTTAAATGTCCCAGCCCTAAAGGGAAATTTATAGCCTTTTTTGGAATGTGAGTTATTTTCCATTCGTGTTTCCTTAACTCGGTAGATAAGAATAAAGAAGCACAGTTCAAGTTAAATCGTGAGGCTCATCCGTTACTCCACATAATGGCACGAAATTAAAATGTTCCCTTCCCCTTCCATCTGGGAATAGCAAGGTTTAATGAATTATTCTCTACGTCAAGAATTTTACTATCACATTTACTACCTCTTCTGCAGGCCATCCTGGCTCCGAGCAGAAATCATGTTTTCTTCGGGCTTCGCGGGTACATCTCCCCATTTGTAAGATCAACGGTTTTCCTGTGAAAAACGACGAAATGAAACTTTACTGCTCTGTGATGAAAATGACCTTAAGGATAATAACAGTATAAAGCTGCCGACTCCAACTAAAACTTGACCAACCTTGAAATTCTAGGCTTGCACCCAAAATCGTTTCGGGATCTTTTTTTTGTTTTTGAAAAACTCACTCCCATTTTACCTTCTAGGATGATAGAGTGGAGATGAATGACTGAAGTATGATTCGGTGTTTCTGAACGGACAGCACAGATTAGTAATCCAACGGCGTCACGCGGAGTTCCTTCCCCAGTGGGGGAGGGGGACTTGCCGTTTGAGGCTAGAGTTCATGAAGCAAAGTATCAGCAGGATTTACCTCCGGGGAAACGTTCAGGGACACGGTCACGGACGGACCTCTGCCAGGTACGAGGCCCCGCGCACAGTGTCAGAGCCAGGCTACGGGGCGTTCCCAGGAGCCCGGAGGGCTGGGGAGGGACGACCGCCTACCCGCCTACGGGTGGCCGTGCCCTCGACTCAAAGGCGCAGGAGGCAGGTGCAAAGGTGTGCAGGGACACACCTGGGGAAGTTGGCGGTGGGGCTCACTGGGGGGACCCTGGATAGGGCACAGGGGACAGGGCTCCGGGTCTATGCGGGCTCACTGGGGGACCCTGGATACGACACAGGGGACTGGGCTCCCGGTCTATGCGGGCTCCCTGGGGGATCTGGATACGGCACAGGGGACAGGGCTCCTGGTCAATGCGGGCTCACTGGGGGACCCTGGATACGGCACAGGGGACTGGGCTCCCGGTCTATGCGGGCTCCCTGGGGGATCTGGATACGGCACAGGGGACAGGGCTCCCGGTCTATGCGGGCTCTCTGGGGGGACCTGGATACGGCACAGGGGACAGGGCTCCTGGTCTATGCGGGCTCACTGGGGGGACCTGGATACGGCACAGGGGACAGGGCTGCCAG